GTTACAATGTGCTTGTTCACCGGACAGTTTGAGAACACTCTGTGACAGTTATTTTCCTAAGGCAAGAGGACTAGAGTCTACAACTCAGAGAACTGAAAGGAATGTCTGAAAAACCCTACCCTAGTTTAAATTCTGTTCAAAGAATTGTCAGAGCCTGACAGTGAGCAGGCCCTAATGTTTTTGAACTTTGGGGGAATTGAAGATATTGTCCTTGGCGACAGAACAATTTAGAGCTTGTAGCATTTTTAGTAGGAAATATTGCATGATTTGAAAAAAGAAATATCATTCTCATTTCCTAGCCAACCACAGCTACGGCAAAGGCTGTGAACTCCGTGATGCAAGGAAGAACCGTTTTCAGAATATAGTGAAATTGAAGGCTGAGGTGTAGACTAACTAGAGGCTACAGGGGCCACTGTCGCATTTGGAACTAGCAGCGCCCTGAATGTCTAGTTAATTTTTTATTCTCTCTGCATATGGGACTGACATTACTTCTAAGCTGTTTATTATTATGCTCCGCCATTAAAATGTAAAATTCTGTGTGTATAGGACAGGCTTTATTTCAATGCTGATTTTATAAATTGTAAGCCTGCCAGTTGACTTTAATGTTGATTTTTTTAAAAAAGTATTTCAGCTTATTGCATATTGGAAAAATGTATGAGTTCAATATATTTCATTACATAATGTTAATATACTTTTACTAGAAAAGCTGTTACTAAAATAAAAACATGCATGTACTGCATGCTTGATAATAAATCAAATAGCTTTTAAAGGATGGAAAAATAAAGAAAATTAATTTATTCTGAAAAAATTATCCAAGTTATTGGAATTACTCTGAGTCATATATTTGGGTCATTTATAAGATCAGAAATCAATATCCTTCTCAGAAAGGTACTGATTTGTTAAAATTAGAAAGGTAAATACCAGCTGTCCCTCTTTAGTGATTGTAGTCAATATTGTGGCGCTGTATTCAAGAAATGGGGTCCTGACCTAAGCTGTTCTATCATAGCAACTTCTGTTTCAGTCTTAAGTTATAGGTGCACATATGTTCCAAACATATTGTTAGTCCTCACAACAACCCTAAGGGGGAAAATACTCTCCCTAATTAGTGAACTGTTTTCATTCGTTCAACATGTATTGGGCACATTTTTGGGCGACTTACAGCTCTAGAGCAAGATCACATTTCTTGTCACGAAGCCCTCCGGCTCCCGCAGCGGGGGCGCTCCCGCGGCGGCGCGGTTAGTGATGACGTGAAGGGCGGGAGCCCCGTGGGACGCGGGACCACAGGGGGCGGTGGCAACGGGACCCGAGAAAGCGCAGGTGCGCCTATGTGCGTAAGGGACAGCCGCCATGCAGCCTTAGCGCTTGCCGCTCTCTTGTGGGGACTCATGGCGGCCAAGCTCTCCAGGTTTTCGAGAAAATTATTCATTTTTAATACCGAAAACTTATTTTAAAAACTAAGTGCTGCGGTGACTGCCAAAAAGGGTGCTGCTGCCGCAGCACAAGGGCCGCAGGGGGAGGAGGCCCGGGCTGATCGTGCCGCGGGGCAGGGACGCGTCCAGGGCGCAGTGGACGGGCCGGGAGAGGCGCCCCGTTCAGGAGACGGCACAACTTCGCCAAGTGGGGCGGGGGGGGGGGGGGTGCACGTGGTAGATGAAGGTACGGGGTGTAGGAGGGCCCAGGGCCGAAGGGGTGCAGCCGGGGAGGGAGGGAGGGAGGGGCAGGTGGAACTAACCACCGTGGTTTGGGCTCCATCCAGGGGTTTGCCCAGCGGTAAGAGATGTGGCCTGGAGCTGCTCGGTCCCAGCCTGGCCCCTGGAAACAGCCACCCCCGAGGCCCCGCCCCTCTGCCAGGTGACAGACCAGCACAGGTTTCCACGGCCTGGGCAAGGCAGCAGAGAAGGTGTGCGGCGCAGTATCTGTTGGATTTACCTCCTTTGGGGGCCCGTTCGTGGCAGTTCCCACTCATTCGAACGAACGGCCGGGCTGAGCCGCGCGGTGCGGTCAGCAGCCGCCTCCGCCGCCCAGCAGGGTGCTTGCCAGCTCCGGGCCGGAGGCCCTGGCTCTTCCTTCTTGCCTGCCCGGCTCTGCCCACACGGACAGCCTGCTGGATGCTGCTGAATGGCAGAAAGTGAGGCAGAAGCCCCGCACGCCTGGAGCGCAGCGAGCCGGGCATTACGGGTCTCCTTATTGCTTGGCCGGGGAGGGCGCACGGCTCGGCGCCCACTCTGCCAACACTGTGCCGCCGGATAGTTAGCGGGCGTTGTCTAGCCTGTGCGTGGTGGCAAACTGCGGCAGCCCCAGGGGACCCGCTGTGCGTCGTCTCGGTAATTTGCATGTCTCATGTCTGATGAGTAGCCTCAAATAAATAGAAGACCGAAGTACATAAAAGCATTTTTCTATTTGGGCCAGACCCAAGATTCCAGAAATTAAAACCAATTTCAGTGCATACCTTTTTTATTGCCTTATTTTAATTTTAAATACTAGTGCTTAAACACTTGTTGTTTCATTAAATTTTCCTTCCTCTTCTGAATGCCAAAGCATTTCGGAAGGCATTTCACTTTATTCCAAGAAGTTCAAGGTCACACTCGTAACACCCCACTAGCTAACTGGTGTAGTTCTATGTAAATAAACAGTGAACAAGCCGGGCTGCATTGAGGGGTGCGTAGGACCTCTTGCCACCTTTGCTGAGCTGCGAGCCCCCAGGGACCTGTGTCCCTGTCCTCCCCCGCCTGGAGGCCAGTGCTCCTTACACACTTGTTTTCGTCCATCAGTTCTGTCGATGGAGGCCTCCTCTGCCAGGTGCGCGGGGTCCCCGGATGCTGCGAGGCAGGACATGACCAGAAGTCGGCCGGCAGAATGGCCCTGAGTCCCGTTTTGCTTGGGGTCAAGAGGCACGAATCAGATTCATTTCCACTCTTACCAGGACACGTGTCCTTTGACCCACAGTTTTCTCTCCCCCACTAGGGATAAATGCCTACTTCAGAAGGTGGCAGTAAGGGGGAAAGTTCTATTTTTAGAAAGGCTTAACACAATACCCGACAGTAGAAATGCTTAGTTCAAGCTTCGCGTTGGCTCCCAGTCTCCCTCGCTTTCTGCAGGCCTGTGTGTCTCACGGTCTACAGCCCTTCGAATGATGTCTCACATTTGTCTCACAGGTTATTACAAACTCAAAGGGCTGTCCCATGCGCCAGGTCCTTTGATCCTCAATGGCAATGCCATTCATAACGACAGCCACCATTACTAATACTCACCGAGCCCTCCTTGTGTGCCCGAAGCTGTCTCTACATCAGCGAACTGTCCTGTGCGTGTGTTACCGCTGTTAAACTCGCTCATCCCTCACAGCTGTCTCGGGAGGCCGTAGGGACTGTCGCGACGCCCAGTTTAGAGATGGGGAAACTGAGACTTGGCGTAAGTGACTTGCTCAGGTTCGCACAGCTAATAGGTGGCGTTTTCAAGAACAGCGGGCACACACCAACATCAGCGCAACACCGCCTTCCGTTCTAGACAGTTCTCATCGGTGCCTTATCTCAGTCCATCCTTGCTGCGCCCCCCGGGAACCGGTTCTGTTTCCTGTCTGCAGCTGGGTCGTCTCAAAGTGACATGGTTAAGACACGGGACTGAAAACCCAGTGTTCTAGTGGCCACCTCCCCATGACATTTCCGGATAGAGCTCAGGCTGCTCTCCCCGTGCGGGGTAGACCTGGCCCTGAAGGCACGCTGACCACTCAGGACGATGTGCTCAGGCCAAAGGGTCTCCCAGCCTCTCGGTGTAAAAAGCCAGGACACAAGGGAAGTCGCAGAAATGAGAAGCGTCCTGTTTCAGTGGCACGTTTCAGTCTCCAGCTCCCCATGTCAGAAACCCTGCATTTTTAATAGCGAATTTGGGTTTTAAAAAAAATATTTCACTGTATTATTTAATGCCTTGAGGATGTAATAAGATTATATATATATTAGAATGTTTACTCTGTCCAGGCGCCAGGCACCATGCTAGGCACTGAGAACGCGGAGAGTAATAAGGTGTGGTCCCTATTTTAAGCAGCATGAAACCTGGAGCGTAAACTAAGACACAAATAAGCATGGTCGTGGTGCCGCCTGCTTGACGCCGCATGAGAACGTAGAGCTGTGAAAAACAACCACATTTATTTCTACAGTCTAGGTCATTTCTGGAGAAGATAAAGAGGCTTGGATGATCTTTTATTAAAATGTCAGATTAGTGCCTCCAGTTTCATCACTTGTAAATGATTGGTGCGTGTTTTTAAATGAATGTATATTTTTTCCTGCTGGTATACAATTTGCACGAAGTGGTTTGGGGAACCAATGCCAAATGTTAGCTGGGTCTGCCTCTTTGCGGAGCTGAAGGGCCAGGATGCACACGGAGTGTTTTGCAGGGTTGAATGACCCAGGGACACTGGAGCCAGGCCACCTGGCTTTGTACCCAGCTCTGCCTCTTACCAGCGATGCGGCCTGGGCAGGTAGCTCAGCTCTCTCTGAGCCTGTTTCCCTGCTCTAAAATGGGGATAACAATAGTATCTACCTTCTAGAGTAGCTGTAAAGATTAAACGAGTTAACATGCTGAAAATAGTACCTGGCTCAGAGCTCTTAGAAGGTGTTGATTGTTTTCTTTTTCTTTTTTTTTAAAAGAATCATTATTATTATCCTATTGGCACTGATTGAATCCATAGAATGGAAGGTTTACATAGTCACTGTTCGAATGTAATTCTCTACTGGGTGAAGAAGATTGGACACTATAGGGACTTGGGTAATCAATAAAGGCCTGGGACTTTAAAACCAGTAGGAGTTTTGCCTATGGTGTGTAAGGAGAGAAAGTGTTAACTCTCGTAACCTAAATTTTTAAAGTTTATTGCATCTTTTTAAAGGTGATTGCTTTTAAAACATAAATACTATTTTCTAGTTATATAAGCAATAGTAAACATTATACCATAAATACAAAGCACAGTCACTAGTTGTCATTAATGTTAACTGTATCTTTTTACCTTTCAGAACTCTTCAACAATAAATACATTTATTAAGCACCATGGCGTTCAAAGTGCTGCTGGAACAAGAGAAGCCACTTCTCACCGTTGTAGTTTTACTAGCCTGTTTGGTAAGTCAACTCTGTTTCGTGAGAATGTGGTGAAAGGATTCACACAAGTCGTACCAAAACTCTTTCCTATGTCTGATCCCATGTTTTAAAAATTTCCTTCAAATTGCATTTTATAATTGTTACAATTAATTAATAAAGATTGCTTCTGAGTCTGGACTTTTGTAACAATTGTTGAAATTATTTTATTTAAATTTAGATGAAGTGAAAATCCCAGCGTTACTTGCCACCCCGTTATAAAGATTACCATGGGTTTACAGGGATTCCCACAGCACATCTCAGATCCCTACAAGACCGCAGAGTCTGACTGGGAGCCGCTGAGTCACACAGTTGTAAAGTATTTAGAATTGATTTTTTAAGTTCTATTATTTTTATATAGTTATTTATATCCTTGGATCCAAAAAACATTAAGGACAGAGGGAGAATTTTCATGTTTGAAAGCTTGACGGAAAAGATCTATGAAGGTATTCAAAAGAATCGAAAGTTATTTAGTTTGAAGATATAATCATGACCTACAACTATGAAAAGAATTATTTACCCTGAAGGCAGTACCCAAAGTCTTCTTGGAAGACAAAGTAAGAGGAAATGGTGTCCATTTGGAGTCGGATTCTGGCAGATACAGCAAGGAAAGCCTCCTTTCTTTGATGTGAGGTTGTTAAACATCGGAATGAAGGTCTAGAAGGTCAAAGCCTTTACAGTCTCTTTGTGGTGGGAGGGAACCTGTCTCTCTCAAACAAAATCAAACTCCTCTAAGATTGGTAGTCAAGGGCTGTTCAGAGAGGCGGGAGGAGAGTATTAGACCTTTAGCCCCAAATTATGTTCTGGTCCTGAACCCCACCTTGAACTCTCCCTCCTGCCTGCTCCGGAGGGTCAGGCTCTGACCTTATGTAAGGGGGCCGGCGGGCACTGTAGATATTCCTGCTTCAAGACGGAGGTAGTTTGCACTGAATAATTGCTTGTTACTATAACCTTCAAAAGCAGTTTCCTGGGTACCTACATGTGATAGGCTTTATCCATAAAATTGCCTCTGTCCTCCCGGTACTTCCTCAGGTTTTCAGCTTTTATTTCAGAAAACAAAATTGTAGTCAGAAATGTCATTGAGGGTGTTTCTGCTAATGCTAAAAGGTTGAACAGAAGGTTGTCCCCAATCTGAAATGCTATTATTTATGACATTTTTTACAAAATACTGTTAAGAGCAGATGAACATACTTTCTACGTTTCTATGTAGGATGGTAGTATAGAAAGTGAATTTACTGTTTTTAGATAAAATAAGAAAAAAAAAAGGCTATATTTGGGAAAATGACTTACAAGCTTTCTTCTGGCCAAAACAGATAATCTTTGTATTTAAGTCCTATGCTCTGAGCCAAAGTACAGCGTTCGGCTCCATGAACGTGGTTAAATGTTTATCAGTAAGAATGTAAGTTCATATTTCATGGCACTTTCACTTTGAATTGTCCAGAAAGTTTGGCTAGTATTGTCATCTTCATCAGTGTTGAGAATTTTACTGATCTCACAATTGTCAGAAATTTTTGAAAGACAATCTCTAAATAAATTCAGTTCACCTGAAAAAGACTGAAACTTCTACATCAAAATTGGGTGGCAGATATGTGGTCTATCTGGAAAAAGTCCAGCCATTGTTAATATAAAAAGAACAGTTTGAGTGACATCAACGTAATCTGGCAGCCAAGGCGAGTGGGCTGGAATGCGCATGCGTGAACAATGAGGCCTTCACTGTGCTAGTCAGTGGGGGCGGGAGACACAGCTGAGTGAGCATGTGTACTGTGTGGCTGTCGCATCCAAACTGAGCAAGTAGAGAAACAAAACCTGCATCAAATTTTGCATTAAGCTTGAACATTCTTCCACGGAAACTATTCGGATGATTCAGAAGGCCACAGCTATGGGCAGCTGATGATTGGCAGCTTCAGCATGACAACGTGCCCATTCATGCATCAAGTATCATGCAGAGTGTTTCGATGAAACATCAGATCACTCAGGTGACTCAACCCCCCTACACCCCAGATTTGGCGCCCTGTGACTTCTGCCTTTTCCCAAAAGTAAAATCACTTTTGAAAGGGAAGAGATTTCAGACCATTGGAGAGATTCAGGAAAATATGGTGGGGCAGCTGATGACAATTGGGAGAACTGTGTGAGGTCCCCAAGTGTCTACTTTGAAGGGGGACTGAGGTGTCATTGTCCTCTGTACAATGCTTTTTATACCTTGTATCTTCTTCAGTAAATAGCTCTTTTTCACAGTACATGGCTGGATACTTTCTGGACAGAAGCTACACTAATTTATTCAATTCATTACTTTTGAATATGCTCATATTTTTTCTTTTATTTTCACTTATATTTCTTGATCAAAAAATATAGCTTTGGAAATCAGAATTTTTTCAAATTGCAAAAGGACCTTGATTATCTGCATGTCTGTTCTTTTATACATCCTCTTAGAAAAGAGAGCTCCTCCTAAGTCATTTTCTAAGTGGGGTCCTCAGAAATGTATCAGAGGAAGATAGCAGTTGATTCCAAGAAAAAGGAGGACCTCACTCAGGGAACACAGAGAAGGATCAGGCACATTGATTTATTAGTTCCTCTGACTTACCACTAAAGTCATGTTTTCTTCCTAAGGCGAAAATTAAATTGGCCTCGCTCTGACTTAGTGTTTACATTCAGTGATTTGTGGGAATGATACTGACGATATTATTTGTTTGTTTGTTTTTTGCCAAAAAAGCAATGAACTTACTTTGGGGCGATTTTGCTCCACTCTTTTCCAGGCGTGCGAAGCGCTGTGTGAAACAGGCGACTGCAGGCGGCAGGAGTTCCGGGACCGGTCTGGGAACTGCATCCTCTGCGAGCAATGCGGGCCCGGCCTGGAGCTGTCGAAGGTGCGGTGTGCCCGGGGCGGGGGGGGGGGGCGGGCTGCCGATGGGTGCTTTTCCGATGCTTTCTTTTTAGCTAAATTCTTTTAGGTAATTATTGGTGAAGGTTTGGACGCCGTGACAGAATGCTTGGTCCATGGTGTCCCTTTAGCCAGATACAACACAATTCCCATTTCAACACTTTCGTCTGTGTGTGTCTCACTCAGATCAAAGAAATAGGTTCTGCTCAAGTGTTATTGTTTTATGTAACTTACTGTTTAGCATGTTTTATTGCAAGAATAGAATTAAGGTTTATTTGCATTAATTAAAAAGAAGCGATAGTCTACTAAAGACTGAAAAATTAAGTGTTGATAAGAGAAAGTGGTGATGCCAATATTTACTGAGACTTCTTTTTCTTAAAATAAATGTTGTCACTGCGAGTCAGGAAGCAGAGCTCAGTGATGTCTTAACTAGTGCTGCTCCGAGTGGCAGCTCTCCTCCAGACCTGGGATTTGGACACCACTTTGACAAGACAAGGATTCTCAGTCTCCCCAGGTTGAATGTACATGACTACAGGATCATTTTAACATATATTCATTTTAATCACTATTTGCTAAGACACTGTGGTCTAGCATATTTCCGAGTCTTGGATATTCTTGGGTCTCTTTTTTTTGGTGAGTGTGCTCAGAGTTATACATCAATTTGCTTTATTTTCTGATCTTTTGAAGATGTTACTAGTTGTGGAGAACTGATGTGTCATTTTTTTTTATTTGTTCTAAATAAAGCATCAAAGTCTTCCTGTTAGAGAAGGAACAAAAGATCCTTCTTTTTATTTAAAGTGACTTTTAAAAGAGAAGGCCTTTGCTCCTACAGCCTGCCATTACTTAAAGTTGAGTCTTGTCATTCATAGCTTTGTGATCAATGATCTGCAAACAGCAGGCAACTACTATTTCCGCATTCCCCTGGTGAGGGCCTCTCTCTGGTGGCTGTGTTAGGTCAGGGGTGCCCGGGACTACCCCTTTGGCTTGAAACGGGCTGACCTTTGAACTCCGTGTGATGCCTAGTTAACCAGCAGCTCAGCTGGGTGTTCCAGTCTGTGCATTGTAGTAACACGCATTTTCAGACAAAGGTTTTGCTGGGTGAGAAGAGGCGCGCATCTGTGAACAAGTAGTTAAGGGTACAGTAGTGCCCATGAGGAGAATAGGCCATGAGGTTTCTACCCAATCTCTGTGAAAATCTAAAGGAAACTTTACAGATGAGTAATGCCGAGATGAGTAAATCACGTCTAAGAAATTGCTCCCTCACCTTCCTCCTTTGAATCCAGAGGCTATAAGCTCAGAATAATTCCTGGAGAATCAAACCAGGGATGAAGGTACTGTCAGCTCTAATATTTTTTATTTAAAAAAAAAAATCTGTCTTCTGAGACTATCTGATAGCAGTTTGCATATTTCACAATGTTCTTCAGACAGCCGAAAGAAATATTTTTCTCTAGGTAGTAATTTTCCCTGAGCATTGAAGAGCGGTCCAGCCCCATTCCATTGGGAAGCAGGTCAAGTAATTCTTCTTTACATACTTATTTTAATAATTAATTTTCATTTCGATATGTATGATCATTTTCTTCACTTAAAGAAAAGACCAGGACAAATTGAGTGAGCAAGGATAAACGTAAAGGTCATGATGTCACGGAAAATTAGATGGTCCAGGTACAGAGGGATGCGCAAATGTTACAGAGGTCCACGGTGCCCCCGTGTGTCCCGAGGGCCCCCTCAGCCGACGTCCTTGCCCGCTGCATCGGGCGCTCAGCTGCCGGCCGATGCGGAGCTCAGCTTTGCTAAAGGAGTCAGAGGATCAGTCAACCTCAGATAGTTTTTGGGGGGAAGTACACTTAAATCTAGTAATATAGAAGTTAACAAATTTGTGTGCGTTATTAATGATATATTTCACCAAGTCTTTTATCCTGGTTTTAGCTCTTAGCAAATAAAAATAGCACTGGGCCTTGCCTGTTGGTCTGAGATGCAAACTATGAGAGATGCAAAGGAACGTGCCAACCAAAGTATAACTATATTTCTGCTTCCCAGTTAACTTATCAAGGCAAAGGGCTTGGGTATTTAGAAGCAGTTACTTTTGGCCTAAAACTCCTAAACTGTCCACTCAGAGATTTTCAGTTTCTCCTTTTCGGGCTGCCTTTATTAAGTTTTTAGCAGTAACATGTATCTTTCATAGGAAAGAAAAAATTTTGAATATATTAAAATTGGATAAATTAACAAACATTTAATTGGTTAATTACCACTTCTCGCTTTACAGATCAAGGGAAAATGTAATCTTTTGACTAAGACTCAACTTTTTGTTAATTGTCAGGTGACTACATTGGTAAATAATCTAACTGCTTTTTACGGGGAGACTGCGCATCGCACTGTATATTACTGCGCTACTCCCTGTCCGAGGCCTACGGAAATGCGTGGCCCGCGCACCGAAGAACTGCAGTGGCTGTTTCACGTGCTCCCCACTGGCTCCGAGCGCGCCTCCCCACCCGGGCTGCGGCCGCTGCGCCTCCAGCCGCGCAGCCCTGGCCCGTGGCCTCTCCAGACTCGGGCCTGGCACCGACTCCGGAAGCAGAGCGCTGCCCTCGTGCCGCGGGCCTCGCGCGCGCGCGGTTCTGGAGCCGCCTCGCCGGCCGGTCCGACGCCCACGCGCTCGGCCCCTTTGCTCCCCGGCGCCCGCCTGGTCTCGCCCTGCGGGAGCCGCCCGCGGGGTCCCGCGGGGTCCCTCGTGCCGGGCGGCCCCCTTCCCACGCCGCCTGAGCCGTCCCCGCGCAGTGCCACCTCCTCAGCGCTTTGGGTTTCCAGTTTCCTCCCGGAAAGCGCCAGGCGCCCTTTCTTCTTACTCAGGTTCTTTTTAGCAATTCAGCCTAATCTGTAGATTCCTTGTATCTCTGAGAAAACCCATGACCCGTCCCTGAGCCCTTGGGAGTCCAGAGTGAGGATTTTAGCCACCGAGCCGTATTCGAGTCTTCTCGCCTCTGCCGCAGGGTCCAGCCTGGGAAAGCCGCTGCGAAGGGAACTCGCTGGTGCCTTTCCTGAGTCCGAGGCAAGAACTGCGAACCGGTGCTCCCATCGCTCCCCGGGAAGCGCGTGCTGCCGGGCGCTGGAGCCACGAAGGCGGGCGGCGGGTCCGCGGGGCGCGGGAGGGGACCGGGTTGCTTCCCCGAGGCGGCCGCGTAGACCTCCACCTCCCTCCGGTGACGCTTGGCCCGGGCACGGCCCCCACCCCCTTGCGGAGCGGCAGTGCCAACAATGTGCTTTTAACAGGCCCGCCTCCCAGCAGTAAATCAGGAAACGCGTTTTTGCATGAACCACTTGAAACAGACTTCAAGTCTCTGGCACGGTTTTCAAAGTAAGCTTTTCTAACCAATTATTGGGGTGACTTTAGTTAATGTGAGAAAATGAATTCTTGTAAACAACAGCGCACTGCTCTCCACACGGATGGGTGGCTGGCTGCAGATTTTCAAAGACAGCCACTCTTTGGAAAACTGTTTTCATCCACATGGAGAAAGTCACACACACACAGAAAAAAATTTAATGTTATTTGCAAGCATAAAAAAGGATTCATTTTGGCCACTTAATTACAGCGTTGCTCACTTTATTTATGTTTAATTACGCCTAATCGAGCCCTGTGATGTTTGGCAGATATTAACACGCTCTAGCTTGTACTTTTTTTCTTTAAAAAACTCAGCTGAAGATTTTCATAAACTGAAAGTTGGGGAGAAACGCGTCCTTGGTGTTGTTTTACGAAAGGAAATTTAAACAGCTGATTTCTAAACGCCAGCCGCGTGGGTCTGATTGTCGTTCCATTCGCGGCCCTGGGCCTTCTGCACAGATAAAACCTCTCCTTGGTCCAGGCTCGAGCTTCTGCAGCTCAGAGAAGCGAAGCCCGTAACTCTGGGCCGAGGCCGCAGCCCGTGCTTCCCGGACGGGCCCCCCACCCCTCCGTGAGGGGCTGCGGCCGCGGGGGCAGCTGCCCCCCGACAGTGTAGCCGTGGGCGGGGGCCGCCTGCGTTTGTTCCCCTTCCGTGCTGGGTTTGCAGAGGCAGGAAGGGAAGAAGGGGACTTGGGGACTGTTGACTTCGGGTCATTTTGCTGCTGCAGAGCCACCCGATGTGGCTGGAAAAAAAAAATGGGGCAGAGCGACAGAGCCCACTCTGCCACCAGCCCGGGGAAGCAGCCCTCTCCCGCCTTGAACCGCCCCGAGGGAGGCGGCCGCCCCCGGCGCAGCCCGGCGGCCCGGGGCATCTCATACGTGGGGGACATGGCCGTGAGCGTCCCACGGCTTTGCCCCCTGGAATAAAATAAGCGTAACGACGTGAGGAAACACTGCCTCAGACCACACCCATCCGTCCCTGTATTCAGCAAGGACGCGTCGCTCACCAGCCCGCTGTGTGCTGCGAAGGGAAAGAGGCAGCACTCGGTGACGCTGGGGAATGCGCGGGGCCTGGGCTCAGGGCCCCCCCCCCCCCGCCCCGCGGCTGTGGCACCGCGCAGCAGGGTTGGCGGCAGGGGGAGAGCTGGCTCCCCGTCCGCACAGCCGGGCAGGACGGGTCGTCGGTGGGCAGCACACACTGAGGGGTCCAGCAGGACACAGGGGTCCTGGCTGGGCCGAGCTGACCTGGCGATCAGATGCCCCCAGGGGACAGGGGACGAGGAACCCGATGGTAGGTCGCGGATGGGGCTCCTGGGCGGCTGACTCCGGGAGGTATTTGCCACCGGGCGCGCGGAGGGGCCCAGCGAGGGCTCAGGGCCCGGCTGGGGTCTGGTCCCCCAGAGGCTCCCGGTCAGGAGCAGGTGCGAGGGGGGACCCTGGGGAGCGAGGGGCTCCGCACAAAGGGCTGTCCACACATGGGGTGATCTTCAGCAGTAGAAGCCCTACAGAAATGCCTGTTTCTAAATTGCATTTAAAAAAAAATTCACTATCCATATGCCCAGCTTGGAGTTTCTTAGAAAAAAGGTGTTCTCAGGGACTCAGGGAAGGCG